CACGTCCGCTCAGCTCGGCTGTTCGCACTGAACTGAGATCATAAACCAATAATATATATTCGATTTAAATGAAATTATCTCCATATAAATGTTTTCGTATTCGTTGTATACATGTCAGCGTGTGAAATTTCCACAGCACTTCGTAATCAAAATGAAAATGTGATTTTATAATTTAATAGCAAATTTTATAAGTAATAAAAATATTGTATATTGTAATAAAATGCACATATTTTATAAATATCTGTAAAAGTTTTTATGTAAGAACTTATGTAATGTAAGAACTTTTTCTAGATTTTTTTTGTATTTTTCCTGTAAATAATTTTAGGTTTTTTAAATTTTACCTGTAAATTAACATATGATGGCATCTGTTGGACAAACCCAAAAATAATAAAAAAAAATTATCAACATAATATGAAATATGGAATAGAATATTATTAGTTATGTTATTAACACTTAATTAATTACTCTGCCCTTATTCTAGACAAATTTCACTTATACAGGGCGTCCCGTTTAAAACTCCCCGGCTGGATATCTCGAAAACGGAAAAAGATAAATGATTTCTGAAAAATCCACTGTATAGTTTCAATAAATGGCTTTACTTGTGAGTACAAATCCCGTTCCTCTCAGTGCAGGTATAGATGTCGTTGCAATCCGAAAACATATTTTATTGACAGCAGTTTTGAAAAGTGGCGCACATGAAAGATCTCTAAATTATAAGCAACTTTTTTGATATAAACAATTTTCGAAAAGCCACTAGTTTCCGAGTTACTTGGATTTGACGTTTTTTTTTCCAGGAGAGAGATTTTTTAAAGTTAAGTTTTCAGGCATAACTACTGCAGATTTTTATCGCATTAGATTGCTTTGAATAAAACAGTGATGAATTAATTTTATTTAACTAATAGATATCACAGGAAATTACTTCATTCATTTGTTTAAGCAAATCATAGTCATTTCGATCAAAATAAAGTAATATTTATTTCATAAAAACTAAATTAACATAATACACGAGTCACAATAAGTGTTCAAAATTACCGCCATTCTCATGAATACATAATTTATATCTTTTTCTATGTTCGGTATCAGTTGCCCATAATAAAACATTCCGAGGAATACATGCACAACTCGCATACATTTTATTGCACAAGTCAGCCAAGACTTCAATTTCTGTTTGGTAAATTAAGTTCTTTAGGTAACCCCACAAGAAAAAATCGAGTGGGGTTAAATCAGGGGTGTGGGCAGGCCACCTTATTGGACCATTGGTGCCTATCTATCGCCCCTGAAAATATACATGAAGAAAATTTTGCACCCTCCTTTCATTATGAGCTGGTGCCCCGTCTTGTTGGAACCAGATATTTTGGCTCATAACTAAAGGAACTTCTTCCAATAGAACATTTAGTTGGGTGTGAAAGAATTGTAAATAATTGCGACCGTTCAAATTTTCCTCATATAAATAGGGTCCAATTAATATGCCATTAATACATGCCATACATTTATAGAAAACGTGGTTTGGAAATGTCTGTCTTTTGTCCATCTAGGGTTACTTTCATGCCAGAAACGGCTATCATGTCTATTCAAAATGCCATTTTTTGTAAATCGACTCTCGTCAGTCCATATAATGTTATTTAAAAACTGGTCGTTTGATTATATAAGATATAGGCTTGACAATTTTTAAGTGAAAAAACTCTGACCTCATGCTTTCTCATAATCTAGAGGTCTATCAAACAGAATCTGCATGTTTTGATAGGTGCGACTTAAGACTGCTCCGGTATTTGGTTTCAAAATTGCACAAATTACACTTGTGCATCTGCACCTTTGTAGGGTCTGCATGCCTCAGTTGGTGATACTTAAGTCCGCTTTCATATTTGCTGACAAAGTCACACAAATCACATTTGTACCCAGACGCTGCCGAAGGATCGGCATGTTTCAACTTGTGATACTTAAGTTCGAATTTACGTTTTGCCACGAAATCGCACAAATCGCACTTGTGAATTCTTGTTTCTGAGTGTTTCGTGTGTTTCATTTGGTGGAAATGGAGACTGCTCTTACGTTCGGCCTTAAAATTACACAAATCACATGTGTACAACCGTGATTTCGATGGATCCGCGTGTGTCGCCTGGTGTGGTTTAAGATTGTTTTTATACTTAGTTTGAAAGTCACATAAATCACACTTGTATATTTGTACCTGTGAGGGGTCAGCATGTTGCAACTTATGGGACCTAAAACCGCTCCTACTTTTGGTCGCAAAAACGCACGAGTCACACTTGTACGTTGGTGATTGCGGACGATTGGCGTGTTTCAACTGGTGCCGCCTAAAGGACTCTTCATATTTGAACTTAAAATTACATTCATTGCACTTGTACGTCCGTGCCTGAGAAAGTTCCGCGTGTTTCGCCTGGTGCAGCTTGAGTTTATCCTTGTATTTCGCCTTAAAATCACACAAATCACACGAGTACATATCCACTTTTGAGGGGTCGGTATGTTTCAACTGGTGAAGCTTAAGACTGTCTTTGTATTTAGTCTTAAAATCACACGACTCACAAGTGTACATCTGTACTTTTGTTGGGTCAGCGTGTTTCAGTTGATGAAGCCTTATACTTTCCTTATATTTTGACTTAAAATCACAGAGATCGCAGATGTACAATCGCACCTCTGAGGGATCCGCATGTGTCAATTGGTGGCGCTTGAGTTTATTCTTATATTTCGTTTTGTAATCGCACGAATCACACTTGAGTATCGGTGCTTCTGAAAAGGTAGCGCCGTTAGCATGTTTCACCAGGTGACGCTTAAAAGACCCGTTATACTTGGACTCGAAATCGCACAAATCACACTTGTACAATCGCACGGTCGAGGGGTCCTTGTGTACTATTTGGTGACCTATGAAACTCTTCCTGTTTTTGCTTTGAAAATTACATTTATCACACATGTACATTTTGGGTAACTGATCAGATGCAAATTGGTTTATGTATTTTTTTCTCTTGTCTACTTTGGAAATCTCCTCTGTCTCTTCCAGTTGATGGGGTGAAATATCCGGAAAAATGTTACTGAAAAATGTTTATTTTTTAGTAAATATTTATTTGATTTTCGTCATTAGAACATTTTTTTAAATCGATTTTTGAAAAGTTTAGTTTTGTCTTTTGTTTTTGCTTAAAAAATTATGGAAGATTAAAAAACTACAGAAAGAAAATTTTTTATTTACTACACATTTTTTAAATTAACAATTTTCACTCAATGAAATGTGGACAAACCAACAGATCGATTTTTTTTACTATTATTATTGCTTAAATGGTTTCTATGGCTAAATACTGTAACACTACAACATATAAGATAAGTGTTTTCTTATACAAACATCTTCCCTTGATGCTCTCATTCTTGATATACACAATGTTAAAGTTAAAAAAAAGTTATATCTCTCAAGACAAGAACGACAGGAGATCAGAAAATATTGCTAGTAAAAGGTTTTTCACTGAAATACTGAAATCTCAATTTGCCTCTTGACTGTTAACAACTGTCATATCAATGCTGTCAAAATGACAGAATAAATTCCTTTTTGGAGAAAGGGATTTCTAGGGAGTATAAAGTAGTATTTAGAATAAATCGTGTTCAATGTACTTTGAAACCCAAAATGAAAAACTGGAAAATCATACATTCTCCAACCAACATTTTGAGGATATACACTCATTCTGTCACAATAATGTCGATATGGCAACTGCCAATGTTAAAAAAAAACAATCCTTGTTATCATTTTGACAATATTGATTTTTTTTTTATTTTCAGTCTTAATGACAGCTGCCGTCTGTCAAAAATGATTTTCAACGTCAAATTTGGAATTCCCACTCCCAAAAACATTTGGAAATAACTTTCTCAAAAAGCCAATTTATTATCATTCTGTCATTTTAGCAGTACGATATGACAGCTATTGACTGTATATACTACTAGCTTCAAATGAGGCTTAATTTTTTACCTTCTTCATGTAATGTTAACACAAAATTTTATTTTAATATCTTCATTGTTCAGAAGATATTTTGAGTTATTGTATATATAGGGTGGTCGCAATGTAATGGGCCAAAATTCATGACTAGATTCCTGACGTGAAAATATTGCGATTTAAAAAAACTCACCTTAGTCCAAAAGTTGATACTTACAGAGATACAGGGTGTTTAATGCAAAATATTATTTTAGTTTTTTCTTATTTATTTCATAATAAATGCTCATATCGAGATGAAATTTTGGTGTTAGGGGTTTTCTGGGGCGAGAGATTGAAATATATCCATGGTTTGCTTGTAGCTCATAGAGAGCGCCACCTGCGCTAGGTCGAATGCGTTGAAAACGACAGAACTTTTTTATCTTTCAAAAATCTAATTCTCAGGTAGCAAATTCTGATTTTACAACTTCTTTTACACAAAAAAGCTATACTTTTTGATAGTCGCTATCTTGCACCGTTCTCAAGATATTTAGCTTTGGTAATTCGAGTAATCAAAATAAGGTACGAATGTCAAAAAGAACAAGAGTTTATTTCAAATTATAAATTGTGATGAACAATTGAATATCGAATATTACAATAAATGTTCAACATGTCCGCCTCCAACTTCAATACATTTATTAACGCGTTTGTTCAAAGACTGCCGTATTTTAAAATAGAGATTCTTGTTACGAAATGATTCGGCGGCATTTACAATTTTCTGCCATAGCTCTTCGCGGGTGTTTATAGTTTCTCTATAGACAACTGATTTCATGTAGCCCCAGAAACAAAAATCCATAGGATTAAAGTCAGGACTACGAGGAGGCCATAATATTCGACTCCCACGACCGATCCAACGATCCGGAAAAATGTGGTCAAGATAGTTCCGTACTCTGACAGAATAATGAGGGGGAGCTCCATCTTGCATGAAAAATAGATTTTGCCGTGTATTCAGTGGTAAATCGTCGAGGTAGTCAACTAAATGGTGCTGCAGGAAATCTAAATACAAGTCACCATTTAGATTTGGAGGAAGCTCATGTGGACCCAAAAGGTGATTTCCTATGATTCCGCACCAAACATTTATCTTAAATTCATGTTGGAAGTGACGCTCACTGACTACGTGAGGATTTTCATTATCCCATATGTGCTTGTTTCTAAAATTGAAAATTCCTCGACGAGTAAAGGTCGCTTCATCAGTAAATAGTACATTATCCAAAAATTCCTGGTCAAGGTTTTGCTGATTGCACATAAAATGAGCAAATTGTAATCTAGCTGGTAAGTGTGCTGCTAAAAGATTTTGCACCGGGGTAAAATGGTAGGGATATAAACTTATTTTCCGTGTGAAAGATTTTGAGAACTGTTGTTTTACTAACACCGGTTTCTCTAGCTACCTGCCTGCTGCTAACTTCTGGATTTCCTGCCACTCTTACTAAAATTTCTTCTTCTTGGTGAACTGTAACAGTACGCCCTGCGTTGTCTCTTTTAGGACGAAAACTACCAGTTTCTCCAAGTCTATTAAAAAGTTCTTGAAATAGTTTCCGATTTGGTTGCCTTCTATTCGGATACAACTCTGAATACCGACGAAGCGCTCGACGTCCAACATAATC